TAGTAGCTTAGAGTGGCATCAAAGGCCACATGTTGCGGATACCCGTCCAGAAGGTTAACTAGGTGTTGCAAACCCAAGGGACTAAGCAGACCGAGGCGGAGTGATTGAATGAGGGAGAGAAGAATTTCAGTGACGTTATCATCTCCACTCCGACGTCGTTTCGGAGGCGTAAGAGAGTGCTCGACCCATTCGCAGGCGCTGTTAAGAATCGCGTCTTCATTATAGAGAAAAATCTTGTCAGAAGACAGAGTCTGAAGCACCGATGTGATCAAAAAGGGTTGTGAAGCATCAAAACGGACGAACTTGGAGTCTAAAAGGACGGTAGGATAACGGTAGATAAACCGAAGTAGTGGTTTCTTCAAGCATTTTAAACGATTATCTGAAAGGATTGGGACCATCTCGGTGAAGGTATTGCAATCGTGAAGGCGTGAAAAACAGGGTGATTGGGGATGTGAAAGTGATTGAATGAGATACTGGAATAGCGTCTGCAGTTTGGATTTAAAACGAGGCATTTGTAGATAGTCTGCGATGAAAGCAGCCTCCACAAGACGTCTCACTTGTTCCTCCATTTGACAGTCAGACGAAATCGATTCCCCACCCTCACCTTGAAGAGGCTCAACTTTACTAGTAAAGAGGTCATTATCCGAAAGGAAATGCTGCAGGTGCTGTAACTGACGCGGTGAAAACTCAGAGAGGAAAAATTCACCAGAGCGGGATTCCGACATGCCGCTTTGAAGAGCAGCTTTGAAGAAATGACTTGACTCAACTAGAACACCTCGAGGTATCTGGAAAGATGAAGAGAACGAGATAGTGGTAATTATTTCTGGTAGTAGAAGGTGTCTGCAACTGCCAAAATGACACCGTTATGAGGTTCAACAATAGACTCATCGATAGGAAACTTGAAGCAAAAACTTGTACAAACTCTTCTAGGTAAACAAAAAGCATATTCCAGATAGTAAGGACAATAAAAACGAGGAAATCCAGTTAGAATATATTTGTGATGGCCTAAAACAAACAGATAGTCAAGAAATGATGAAAAAGGCGAAAACCATAACTTACACTGATGCTGAAATCATCCGTAAAAATATTAACGAGCCTACTAATTTCAGCATTTTGGTCAATAGATGATTTCATAATCAGCATCACAAGGTAAACAAATCCACTATGCTAGCCCCATGCATAAATGACCATCACGTGTGTACATCTGGGCCAAGTTAAAATTAGGCTAAGCAGCTAGCTATTAATCTGATTTTATCTGTATAAATTACGAGTCCAAAAAGTGTTATAGTAAAATACGGCTGAATTAGCAACATCATATTGGCTGGCTTAATTCATCAAGTTATTGGCGAACTCTAAATATGGCATATCTTTAAGTGTACACGCTACATAAATTTATGCTTACACATTTTTGTAGTAAGACACACCTACTATTTTTTCTACATCCTCGTCCCCACACAATCGAATGAGTTGAAGAGCCCCAATTAGTTGAAATTGTAGTAACAAATTCCTTTTAAACGCACTTGATTAGAGACGAT